ATATATATATATATATATATATATATATATATATATATGTATTCGGGTGAAAGCAACATCAAATGGTAATGCGTCACTTACCTCTCAGATGTGACGGTCGAACCGGTGGACCTCGCGAATGGAAAAGCTTGCAGTTCTCACTCTGACACAACACACGAACACTTATTTCCCGCACTCATTCTACGCGAAAACCGTTCTACGACCGGGAATGCGACGCGAAATGTAACAATGCGGAATACGTAAACACCGTGGCGAACCGGTAAGGTCGAAAACGTCGAGAGCGTTTTTGATGCCACGAAGTCGCGTGCGCCATGGCGGCGCAGAACAGCTGTTCACAGGAGGGATGGTCGTTATTGGGGATGGTAGGGGTTCGAAGGATAAGTACAGCCATCTAACGACGGACGCGGGAAACGTTCGACTTACTAGCCGAACCGGACATCCTTTGACAATGTTGGAACCTAGAATGTTTCATTGATCATTAATATAGGAAAGTCAATGAAATTGTAATCATTTTAAAGAATGTGGCATGGTCGATTAAAGATAAAGTCACGAAGTATCAGATCTTAAAGTATGACTCTTTGACCGTTTTGTCATTTACTGGCAAGTTAGTAATTCATTAAATGCTTTTCGTAGCAGTGTCATTTCGTTTTGAGGTTAAGTAACACCTCCCCATATAACTCTAAGCATGACAGCCACAGTTGCTCAACAATAAATGCCAATACATCTATTACACGTATCCTTGCATGTCATCACGTGTAATCAATGTAGTTTATTATGCGTAGAGTAAAACTCTAAGTGCGTACTGACTGACATACTGATAGAATCTCTAAAGATGTGAATCATCTCACTCCCACTAAACTATAAAACAAAATACTGATAATTCAAATAGTTATCATACATTATAAAATACAAGCAAATAATCTTAACGAGAAAACAAGCCCACGAAAGTAAAGTAAAAAGTTTGAAATATGTACGTGAATAATTACTTAGATTCACAAAACCGAGATATACGTACTGAATCCAAAAATTCAAATTAAGAAAATTAGAAAAGATATATTGCCTTTTTTATACATTTATATTCATCACATTCATGACGCCGCGATTATGCTCGAGATTTGTTTTTTATGCAACACAATGCATTGTGCTGCATTCCATTCTCTTGTTTGTCTGATATTGTTACACATTACAATTAGATCTACTGCGCGTCAATTTAATGTCGCATCCTTTTATTGTTCCCCATCTTTTTGATTATTTCTTTTAATAATAAAAATACTTGATATAAATCCAATACGACACAATAAGTAATCTGATTCTTCTAACTATCAGTAATTCCAAATCTAACTATTGAATATTAATTGGAAGATGGAAAAGCGTAAGTGATAAAGTAAATAGAAAATTATACGAATTTTTTTTCAAATATATATATCAACATCTTTTAATATTTTTTTAATTCGATTAATTTATCATTATAATACATTTAATTTGTAATTAACAGAGTTATGGGATAAAGGGCTCAGTTTGTCGTTCGTACGACACTGTATTTATACACTCTCATTCACCACGTCGTATTTACTTGCGCACACGTTTCATGTATACGTACAGGCACACAGTTACACACATACACACGCACATGAATGCGCGACCTTGTGTGCGCAACAGGCGTCAGGAACCGAGTAAAGTCTATAAAGATTGTACGATGAAGTGTAAGAGTAGGGCCTCTACTTTAGTACGACTGGCCAGTTTTTTGCAACAGTAGCGTAAGCACAATTCTACGTGCCTGGTCCTCTTGCATCAAAATTTTTCGGAGCAATAAATACAATTGACTCGAAGAATGATGAGATGTGACATTTTGACATAAAATATACTTAGAAGAAACATTCATAATCGATTAAAAAAATCTGTTCCTTACATTTGTATTATTTATTAGTACTATATGAATATTTATAAACGTCTGCAGAACTGTAAATCATGTAAAATTGAATATTGAAGATTATATCATTCCTGTCAATACAATAATAACACACATTATGAACGGAATAATACAAATACACTAATCATTCACATTATCCTATCAATCTCATCAACCAATACACTCTTTCACATTCACTCTTACCCTTATATCTATAACATATAATCTTCCTTATTCGTTTATTTCTCACGTTTGTACAATTCCATATTCATATTCACAATTTAATGCCTTTTCGTATTCACAAGCTGTTTACACGATTCCAAGAACCTTCTCAACGAAAGCAAAATTCTATGTCGCAGCACGGGTGCCCGGAGAATAGTGCCTTGAAAATACTCCGTCCCTGGCCTGCAGTCTGCCGCCTTATAAAGGGAACCCACGCGAAAGCGCAGGCTGCATACCACGGGAGCGCGTCGTTCGAAGCTGGAGGTGCCGATTCAACGGTGTGATTGCTTTTAATTCCCGAACACGCGCCACTTCTACGTACCCACGCATCGGAAGATTCGCATCAGTGGTCCTCGGTGAGTTTGACGTGGTTTCGCCTCGAACGAGCTGCATGATGCGCAACAGGCCTGAAAGGATCGCGACCGAACCGCGTGGCGACGCGGTACATCGTCAGTGAAAGACACGCAACCTTTTATCCAACTATAACGTGTTTACGTTCGCCGTTGCGGTCATGGAAACGGTGATCTGACGCTTCGTCGTAAATATTCACTGCCAGACGCGCCCAGTGAACGTTCCTTGGCAACGTGCTTCGTCGAGAAACCGGCCAGTTCTTCGCGAGCCACGCTACACCACACACAGCCGGTCGTCAATCATCGTGATTATGGTAGGTAGGTATTATATCGCTGTTTCCAAGCGGTCTTTCCTCGTAACGAACAGATGACAACGCCCGGTGACTGGGACAATTTTCCTCTCCAAGCCGGAGAAAGTTCGATCGCTGGTGGGATGCACCTCTTCGAATAGATTTCTTTCGTGTTCTTAATATAACTCGGGATCGTGGATTTATGAGGACGGAGCGCATCGGACGGAACAGCTGACAGATATACCTGTCCTGTTTTTCTGGTCAAGTTTGCTCGAGAATAGGCGTTACAGTTTTGCTCGAAGTCTGGCACGAAGCTTCACGATCAGCGAGCCTCTTTGAAATATACCGTTATTCATCGACGTTGATCGTAGCTCGACCGTTTCCGCTTGCTTCTTATCGCTCGTCCAGAACCGCGAAGAACGTTGCACCGAAGCGCGGTAAACTCTGACGCGAGTTCGATTATTGTCAACGACAATGACGTAGATCGTTCGTCAAGTAAAAAAAGAAAAAAAAAAGGAAAAAAAAATGCGCCTATTTATGGATTAAAGTACACGCTAGATAACGAAAGCAAACTGTTCTAAGAGAGATTTTTGAGCACGCCAGGTGTATCGCTTCGCCAGGTTATCGTTCTTTGCAATTTTAACGACACTTTGCCTTCTTCTGTTCGCAGTTGAGGAAAATACTGTACCGTTGATGAACTCATGAGTTATCATTGCCCAAATCATGAGTTATCACTGATCCCTCGGAACCGATAAGAACGCACAGATTCACGACGAAAATATTCAGCAACACGCGTCGAGAATGGCTTTAGCGAGGATCAAAAGTTTTATAGATACAAGTCTGAAGACCGTGTCCACGCCGTTGGATCGTACGGTGAATCTGGAGCCGGAAGTGGGCATTAGGATCGTTCATTCGATCAACGAGAAGGCGTTGCACGTGACTGTGCTGGGCGCTCGTCATTTGCCACAAAATTTTGGTTTCACCCGAGTCAACAGCTACGTAGTCAAGGTATGTACAATATACATGTACAACAGACTCGATATCTCGGCGGTCTTTCCTATCATTATCTATCGTTACGTAACTCGAAGGAATCATCCATCGCACGAAACCCGCGCGTCCAATTCAAAACCGCTTATTGGCTCACGAATCTTAGAAGACAACGAGGAATCGTGCCACGTCTGCCCTTATCTCCGCGCACGATACGTTTGAAATATATTAATTACAATGGTCGAGTTGAAATCTAAACTCTGCCCGCGGCGCGACCGCGGTTTTCTTATTTCCACGATCGATTTCTCCACTTTCTTTGTATGCCAAGAGGAGAACGATGTTCCCGATCGTTGTTTGTGAAGAATTCTGACGTTGGCTGGACTGCATAATTAAAATTGCGCATAGATGAGTGAGTAACGATGGGAAGAACGGCGTAGAATAAAAAATTCCACGTGAACCGTTCGTGGCTGGTTGATGCTGATAAGCTTCGCGAACGTTTCGCACACAATCGATGGAAACGTTCCTGTTCGAAGCAATTAGTTATTCACTGCGCGCTGCGAGCCGTTTACGTATCAGAGAGAAACTCGAGCAGGAATGAGAGCAAGTCGTTTCTATTCCAGGTGAAGCTGATACCGGGAAAGGAGAAGTTCGAGACAACGTCGAAGAACGAGTCGTGGCCGCAGTGGAACGAGGAATTTACGTTTCCTCTGCGCAAGGAGACGAAACAGAAGTTCGGTAAAACGAAGGTGGTCGAGGAGGAGATCAATGGATCCAGGTTCATCGTGGCCACGTTGTACGCGATTCTCGAGGACAAACCGTTGATAGCGACCGAGAAGAAGGAGGAGAAGGCCTCGTCCCCCAGCAAGGAATCTCCGAAGAAAGGGAGCAAGAAGAAAGATGGCCAGGGTGCCTCCTGCGAGAACCAGGAGCCAACGAAGAATAAATTGTTCAGTCAGTTCTTCAACAAAGGAACGGACAAATCGGCGGAGACTACCACCACTGAGAGGAAATTGTTCGATAAGAGGCGAACTATAGGTGCCACGACGATCTCCTTGGACCCGAAGAACTTCAACGTGAAGCCGCCCAAATCAAAGCATCCGAGCGATGTGTCGACTGGTGACATGTGGAGACCGTTGCGACCGATCGCCAGTGGCATATCTGGAGCCGAAGAAAGGGTAAATTCTCAGAAATTTTCCGATGCATATATCATACAACCGTAGCATAACACAATACTGATTGTACGAGCTACACGTACACTATACCGTGTTAAATTATTTTTTCTTATCGCTGTTGCAGAAGGAAAATAAGAAAGGCCAAGTAGAGTTGTCACTGTGCCAAGAGAAGACCAATAAGAATGAGGAGGGTAGCGAAAGACTGATATTGTCTCTGCATCGTCTGAGATGCTCGTTACAGACGATGCACGAGCACGAGGCCTTGAAAGGACAGATGTATATCAAGATGTCTGTGGTAGACAATGGAAGAGTGACTCACTTCTGGAAAAGCGATCGTTTCGCGCCGTGCGTTTCGATGAAATTCGCGCCAGATCTGGCGAGAGTGATCGCGGATAATCCGTATCAGGGGGCACTGAAAGATGTTAGCTTCGTTGTTAAATTCGTCTCAAAAAATAAATTAGGTGAGCCATACATTAGCTGCTCCACCTAGGTTGCGAAAATTTTACCGACTACTTTTTAATCGATTTAATTTCCTGGTTACGAATGGTTTCGTGTTATTTCAGGGAAGAAAACCACCGTTGGCCATTTTGCAATCGGATCAGATGTAGGTGGAACCTATGGGGAACAATGGAAACAAGCTCTATCGAAATCAGGACAACAGATAACGAAATGGCAGGCATTCGAGTGAAAACCAGAAACGCGAACAGATCAATAAACTTGGTTTTCCTTCGAGCGTGAACCTACTTTCGATTCGTGCTAACATTATGAATATGTAAACGCGTGATCGATAGCGTAGTTCCGAAGAATATACTTAGACGAACATCTATGGATACGAAACTACATACTTTCGTATATCAGCTATTCGTGAAATTTATTTTCGCTTGATTTCATTTTCACTGGATCTTATGATTTTGCCGCGAGGCGACATACTTGGACAAAAGTATTTTATCCATTTGTTTGTACATATCGATCGTTTTACTCAACCGTCCCCGATTCCAAGGTAGAAAAATCGCGATCGTAACTTTGGTTGAAAGTTTCTGTCAAGGATCGGAATGATGGAACCGTCCAATAAGTGCCTACCAGTATAGAAATATATATTTTGATAGAAACAAATGCGACATTCACAGAATCTTAATGATGAAAGGAATAAACGAAGGGATCGACTAAATTCCGTGCCAGAAAGAATTGCAAGCAACAAATTTTTAACTGATAAGTAAAGTACGACGTATAATATAGTGACGCGTTTTTATTTTAGATCTCTGTATTGAAATATTTTTAAGATGAGCTACAAAATCAGTGGAAAAGTATTTTATATTATGAATTTTTTGAATTTGTTTGGTAGAACTGATAGTGACATATATTTAATTCGCTCATTGTCTCAATTGTAAGCATCAATGTGGGTATTAACGTATTAATATATACCGTATATAATTATTGTAATAGATTATTTATATTGCTGTAATTAATTGTATATGTATTTTGTTACGGAAATTAACTGTATTTCGAGAAATATGTTTAACGCCTAAACAGTCACACCAAAAGATTTGTATTAACACACACATTTGTATAACAGAGATATATTTTATATGTAATACACCTGTCGTTATACATAAAGGATGATCTTTATTTTCTTACACTTAATGTTTTCCATAGATCTTTATTCATTCTCCTTTTTTTTTTTTATCATACACATGTACAAACGTATAAAAGAATGATTCATTATACAATCAATCATACTTTTCTGTTATTTAATAATTAATTATACTTGTAGAAAATGCATATAAAAATATAAGAAGCACAATCGTTTTATACTAACATTACGTTTATGATTTGATAATGGACGGAATTTACAATATTGCTTGTACTGTGCTAAATATTAGTGTTAATTCAATACATTTGATCAATATATTTTTCTTTTGTACTACGCAAGTAATCTAAATTAAAGCATACATATGTATGATACTAGCATATATATATATATATGTTTGTATTAAAAATTATTAAAAATATATTTCTATAAAAAATTGCAATGCTCTAAGAAAAGATAAAAATGTATCTGCAATATTCTAAAATTACTAAAAAATGTCTTAAAAATCTTGATTGTTATCATCTTTCTAGTAAGGCACAAAGAGGCACTTTAAAATGCTTATAAAAAAAGAATCGGTCAATGGTATAAAATAGTTTTGTGAAATAATCAGTCTAATTTTCACGTGAAATATGCTACTTCCCTGAAGTTCACATCATACAATTGTCAAGAAGAATTAGTAAGTACAAACGAATCTTTATATCATAAAAAAATATGTTTAAATAGACGTTGTCTAATCAGATCTATCAATAGTCTTTGGTTGAGATTGTTAAGTATAAACAAGTACGTATCTTAAGGAAATTGCTAAACCTATCATTGAAGCAAATATGCTCCCATGATTGTACGAGGCTGTATTGCAGCCATCTTTGCTATTGCAAGTGCAATATTCCATAAATATATTGTACGTCCCTGTTCTCATAAGGCAAAATCTCTCATCCCCCTCAATTCCTGGTTCTCCCATATAAGCACAAGTACGAAAATATCTCCATTCCCCGTTGACTAAGGATTAAAATAAAAACTAACTTATAACAATCCCTGCAAATTTGGTTACCATGCTATGTGAAATTTTGAACTTATTCACACACACCTTTCTGACGAATTTTACGACACATGGTAGGCCTTACACCTGGCAAATGTTCTAAGTCAGGTTCTTGTTTACAGTCAGTTATCGGTACAGTGGTATTATCAAATGGATCTGCACATTTTGGATCAGAATCAGACCTGCAAACCCAGCACTTGATAGATAATCCTGCAAAAACATACAGCAGAGATTATTGTTATCTGTTTACAGAGGGAAAATTATTCGGTGTTTCTTGCACATAATCAAATACTGTTTATTTATACTATACGCATTTGCATAATACATTGAAGCAACGAATATTTTACACGACTGTTGTTTTGATAATGCGAAGAAATTGTGTAAAGTTATTTGTTTTATGGTTTATGTTTCATGACTATTTTGAGGTTAAAATAGAAAGTCAAACGATTAAATTTGAAAAATAATGTTTACCTTGCTGAATGCAACAGAGAACGAATAATACTGATAATAAAATAGGAAAGCTTGTTTCATTGGCCATTCTCTTGGGAATTGGAGATCACTTTATGAGAACTTCAAAACTCGCGTCAAGTCGTAACGATTAATTACTCCGACTGCCCACGCCTACAAGTTACGAGTGACTACGCCACTAACCAACTGTTATCGTAACAGGGCTGACATAGCAAATATTTTGCAATTGCAAATAAAATATGGATGAACATCCAGTAAAAACAAATAGATTTAAAATTTATCTTCGATTAAATAAATTTTCTTTCAAATCGAAATTATATATGGGTCATGTTTAGTAATTAAGTACTATGATAATGTTTAGTAACAAAACATACTATTAAAATATATGAGAAATTTAGTCAAATAAACATTTCTGTAGGTACAATGAGTAATTCATTGTGATACTCATAAAAAATAAAATAAACCAACACTTTAACTACAAGATGCGTTGGTACGCTACTGAACAGTTCGTGCAAGTTCGTCCTCCTTCGGATCACGTGACTAAATTCCGAATCGAGCCGCGCCCGATTCATGAGATATTCGGTGAAATACAGTCTTAATTTAATAGTCGCGACTCTAGTCACGAAAGAATGCACCGTGAAACAGCGATCAACACGCTTAATTGAAATACTTGCAATGCATAATTTATTCGAGCGATAGCACAAATCTCTGACATTTAACAAATGTCGATGATTATTCTTATCTAAATTTCACGTATCACTGCAAAACGCAGTCTATACCTATACTTTTTGATTGTTAATGTTTAAACTTTCAAAGCTCCATATCTGTCAAAGATTTTTCTCGATTCTTTGGCTTTTCGAATTTTCAATTAGAATTTGGATTTCTCAATTTTCAAGAGATCTCCCAAAATTCCGAGAGACTAAATTTTTTAATTTCCAAATAATTGAATCTTCGAGAATTTTTAGTCTTTTGAAATCGATAAGCGATCGTGTCGTCGCACTTTCGCCTCAAACTGGACATGAGAAACAATCGAAACCCGGTGACAATCGTGCCGATTTCTACATTGTCCTCGTAATGTTGCGATAGCCCGCGACAAAATTGATTCTCGTTTGCGGGTGGTCCATGAACGAAACAAGATACGACCTGGTCCCGAGGAGACATTTGAATGCTATAAATAAATATAAATAAATTGATTTGCCGGCATTAGCATAAGTAGCCGAGAGAGCCTCGGACTCTCTTGTCTGCGGCTCGCGTCTCTTCGTTGTCTGCCTCTTTCTTTCTCTCTCTTTTGCTCTCACCGTTGAGACAGACGTTGATTTATATACCGATGTCCCTTAGGTTCCTGCGGCATTCACAGTCTCTTTAACTTTAAAAGGACACAGGTCTACAATCGGGACGCGAGCCTGTCTCGTCTCGCGGTTGCTCGCGTGGGAATTAATTCCGAAAGCCAGCAGATTCTCCCACCGTGGATGGTGCTGTTTCAATTAAACGATAAGAACGAAATCAGTGAAATGTTTAAAGCTCAATGCACGTGGTATAATTTCCAGTCTGTCGAGCGTCGACATATTCTCGAAAATAAACGACGAAGAACGCTCACGAAGAAGAATTCGTGTTCGGCATGAAGGCCGCTTCAGAGAGGGAAAATGGTCCTTATTTCTGCTATGAAATCGGCCGTTTTAAGAGCCGCGGCTCGAGGTCAATTTTTTCTCCCAAAAATCGGGTAATTTCCTATAATCTTCGCGGAGGTTTGGGCGTGGCCAAACCGCAAAGATATTCCGCTAGGGAACGTCGTTGTGTCATTAAATCGAATCTTTCAAACGACCCTGGCCTATCTTCTCCTTTCTGGTCCAGCTGCCAGAAGAATGGATCTTTGAATTACGTGATTGCGTTAAGAATTATCTCGTTGATTGATATTTCCAAGCTGATATTTCCATACGATCTGACACCCATTATTTCACCCAAACGAAAAACAAAACGCTTGCGTGCTCACCGAGTATCAATCGATCATCGTTCGAGAAAAAAATCCTAAGTCGTTCTGTCGATCAGACGGCATATACATATATATATATATATATTTTTTTTTTCTGGACAATTTAACCACGATTACGATCAGCATTGAATCATTCTAGTTATTCCTAGTCGTAACGTCACAACACTTCCATATTTATCGTGCACGTTTTATTGTCATTTCGTAAGAGGTGCGTAACGAATGACCTATATCCTTCAACCAAGACTATTATGTAGAAGATTGACGTTAAAATACATCTTACCATCGTGGCCTTTCACGAGAAAATTGCTCCCTTCTCTCGAGACGTTCCTAAAATGTTCATCCGACTCAATGACGACGATTGTTCGTTAAAAGCTTTGCGCTTTCGTCATATACATTATACACACGCGAACCAAGTTATCCTTATTAGAACCAAGCATAACTCTGTCCAATTCCATCTTCGGTTCGATGCTCTTCGAGAACGAGTGGTGTTCGTAGCCCCATCGTGGTCCCAAGTGTCTCTTCACGAAGAATCCACCGAGAATACCCCCTATCAGAGTGCACCCCACTACTGCAACCGCCGCAGAATCACCCTCCACTTCCGCTTCGCTTGGTAGCCACTCCTCTCAGCCTCTGTTGATACTTCCTCGCGCGTGTATCTCGTCAGTCGGCTTGGAGCCACGTGCGTGTGCTCGACAAGCTCCGGCATAGCCAGCTGCTTGTCTCCTTCACGATCGACTTTGTACTTCCTGCTCGTTAATAACACCTGACAAGACGTTCTCCACCGTACGAACAAAGAAACTCAATTAGCAAGAGCTTTCAAGTGCGCGATAAGAGACGACTCTTGAAAAAGAGAAAAGGACAAAAATCGACGTTGCGATCGACGTTGCCTTTCGAACGATCGTCGGCCAGTCGAAGAACTGGCCACCTCTGTTTGAAGGATGACAGAGAACCGTGTGAACCGGTAGAGAAGCGCCAAGTGTCTACGGCAATGGTATAATAATCGACATCGTGTGCACCGCGCCGTCTCGACGGTGCGTCTAAAACGATCAGGAAATCCAAACTCGAAGACAGATGGTGGAGGCAAGGAGGACTAAAAATATCGGCCGTTGGCACGCCGCTCGCTTCAACTTGAATAGTTTCGCCGGCTGGAGAACGGACCGTTCCATGGTTGTGCGTCGACTCTAATTCCGTTCAAAGTCAGCAGACGTTGATTAGTCGAAACTCTCTTACAGTGTCTCGTCGTTTACTTATTCAACCTTAGAGAGAAGAATTTTCCTCAATGTTGGAAATAACGAACTTTGGTATTGGTGCAACATCGACGAACTGTATCCTCTGTCAAGCGAAATGTTGAACGAAACTTCGACTCGTGAATTCATTTCAAGCATGAATACGATAGACAAGGTAAGCGTATATTCCTTCCTTTCCATCGTCCATAACATTTTATCGTTTTTCCTTTCTTTTTTATTTCGATCACGCTCGAGTAATAGTATTGAATAATAGATTCCGATAAGAACGCGAGCGAACGATCGATGCTCTCGTGACTAACAACACCTCGATTCTCCGATTCTCGACGAAACAGGAGAGACACGATAGCTAGTGAATAGTATCCGCTTTCGCGTTACATAAAGAATCGTAACGTGTATCAAACCGCTAGTTTGCGCGGAGGCTCGCAATATCTCGGTGTCTTTTCGCCGAGGAACGTGCCCCGCCACCTGTATCCCACACACGCGTATACTCCTCCTCGCGGGATCCTCCTACTGTAATCCCACACACACTCGACTACTTCCGCTTCAGACTGTCGATTCAATGACTCGCTGATTGTTTCTACCGTTAAAGTTCGCCAGCGGAGTCGATCAATTTTCCATTCACATCCGTCGAACAGGTAATTCAGAATGGATAAGTCGTGACTCCGCGAATATTCCCCTTCGCAAGTATTCCTCGCAAGTTCGCGGACGTACGAACGAAAGGGGCACGGCAGAGAGAGATTTATAGACAACCGACCGTTTTGCCTCGGTTAATCGGTTAGCGATAATTTACGAGCGTTGTCGCTCGTTGGCACAATTAGCGAAGGCAGCAGAAACCGATTGCTCCGTAATACGCGAGCGAACATCGGTAATTACCCAAGAACGAGCCAGAAGAAGAACGCTGCTTCCTTCACTTTAATTAGACCTCTTAAACCCGACGATACAGAGTCCAACCGGCACTCCAACAAGCTTCTTCCAGTCCGAGGGAATATCGGATTCCATCGTAAAATCCATACCAATTTTACCCTCGCGCGATCATCGGGCTCCATCGAGCAACAACCGGCTCGAGAACTTTTCTCGCCGACGTCGGCGAGCCGGCGAACATTAACAAGCGAAATTAACAAGCGAAAGAAAGCTGGCTCGCGCGAGAGTATCGCGGAAAAACACGCTAATAACACGCTCCTCTCTGATCGATGGTTTCAGAAGCGTACGGACGAGTGCGGAGAGCTTCTAACGAGCGTCGAGTGGCCGCTTTGAAGCGAGTCCCGTGCCACAAGACCATTCAGCAGCACCGTGGAGAGCAAAAGACTTTTAGCCCCTCCACGAGGAGCCCGAGGTTCTCTTCCACTCATGGTGTTTTACGGCGAGCTTGTTTGAAATTCTTCGCGTGGAGTCGCGCGGCCGTATTTATAGAGCCGCGCGCGGACTCCGCGAGTTCACGCACGTAGAATCAAGCGTGCGTGCGTGCGCGAGCGAGCGCGAGCACTTGGTCTCCTCTGCCGCGCGAGGAGGAGAGGAAGGAGGATTGGCGGCGGTGGTGGAGGCCAAGAGGGAAACGAACAGACGAACACAAGAGAGAAGGACAGAGGCAGCAGTCACCTCCGTGCAAACGGAGAGGAAGCGAGAGAGGGAAGGTCGGCGTCGACGAAGGGAGAAGCACGCGGGCACGTCGCGATCATGAAGCGATGCATCCGCGACAGGAGCACCGGCCCGCTTCGTCGTCGAGCACGTCCTCGACGTCGTCGAACTGTCTGCGCTCGCTGCCCCCACTGGCAGGTCTCGATTCACCGGGCATGATCGCTCGGCTGTTCGGAGCGAACGCGGCCCTCCTGTTCCTCCTGCTGTTCCTCCTCAGCGTGCACACCGCAGTCTGCCTCGACCCCGTCCCGGTGAGTATTTAGCAACTCTGTTGGCCGTTTTCGCGCGAGTCGCTTCGTTGTCACAGCATGGGGACCGTTTATGTCAATTGCGACGGAGCAAAGTTTGAAGTTTGATTCTGTTGGGACGACAGGGTAGCTTGGAGTTGTGTCG